AGTTGGTGAATTTAAGACGAAGCCCCAGAGAAGGAGAATCACAGAGAGAGAGAGAGACAGGGGGAGCCAGCAACCCAGAGTAGGTGTGAGTGCCGGGCCCAGGGGCCAGAACCTGAACCCAGAGGCTGGAAGCACCAGGGGCGGGTCCCAGCGGCCCAGAGGCCGGCGTGTGGATGGGGTCCTCTCCTGGCCCTGCGGACTGTCCTCCCTGCGTGTGCACTGAGCACCAGGCCAGCGGGGAGGACACAGGGGAACGGGCGCGCATGCTTCAGCCCAGCGTCTGACTCAGAAGACACAACAAGCTTTGAAATTAATTTCTTATGAGACCTCGTGGGTTCCAAGAGCTGCAAAGCTTGCCTCAGCCTGGTGATTGTCATATTGAGTTACATTTGATCACACTAGTAAAAGGATTTGTATTTTTGTACTAGAAAATGGACACCTCCAGAATTAGCAAAAAAAAAAAAAAAAATGATGACTGGAAATAAATTCAACCAACGCAGTCTGTCGCGTTAGAAGCAGGAAGGAGTCTGGGATGACTCCTTCGTGTCGTGAGGATGTGACATGAACTAAATGTTGGCAAATGCTGGGAAGGGAGGAGAGGCTGGCGCTGGTTGAAGTCCTGATTGTGATGCGCGGGTCACACTGTGTAATCAGCCAGCGGGGCCTGCTGTCTGTCCCCTCCTGCCCTCCGCCTTCCCGCTTACTGTTGGACTCAGACACCACTGTAGGCTTTGTCCACACAGACCTTGAACCCACCCCCCCACCCCAGCCTGGGTGACAACCACACAAACTGTCAGATATAGGGTGAGCCACAAGCAGTAGTCCGGGGTCCTGTGTGCCAAGGATGGAGTTGGAAGGATGGAGTGCTCTTGCCACCTGCTTGAAGGTCACAATTACCCCCTCCCTCCCCTTGTTGGGGCTTCACATGTGGACACAGGAGCACAAGGCAGTCCCCTGACCATGCATCCCTCTCCACCACCCAGAACAGAAAGTGACTGCATGCAGTCTATACCCGTGGGGCATTCAAAAGCCACCGTGGAGACCCAAGGCAGAGCCAGCTGTGTGGGTACACAGACCAGGCAGGGGGCAACGCAGCTCCACAGGCCCCTGGGCCCTGCCGGGCACCCAGCAGGAACACAGCTTAAATCCAGGCCTCGTGGTGGCTGGAGCTGACTCAGACCAGAAAGAGTCAGTGTGGTCTCCGTGTGGACAGAGTGTCATAAGAGCTCGCCGCGTCGGGGACTGGGGGCGGGGTGGGGGGACCAACAAGAGCTGCTGCTCACAGAGGAGCGATCTCAGGCTCCCCGCAGACCCAGCCGTTTGAGCCCACCTCTCCCCAGGTGTGTGCTGACACTGCTCTGTCATCGCGAGATGCTTTCCCTTCCGATTGGGTTGATTAGGTTTTTTATCCAGTAATCCTTTCCTGTGTTCTCGCCGATGTTGTTTATTGTGTAGCACAAAGATGGAAATCTATTTACTAATCTGTTCAATTTTAGCTCAATGCCTGCAATCATCCTCCTCGGGCGGGTAGGCCTGGAGCTGATGTGGAGTCCTGGGGCACACAGTGAGATCCCAGCAGAGTCCACATTGAAAGTAACTTTAACACAATAGGTTTGGGGTTTTGTTTTTTCTTTTTTTGTAACTGAAATGAGAAGGTAGGATTTTTAAAGGGAAGGTGTCACTTGCATTTTCCTCATCTCAGTAGCTGCATTGTGGAACTTTTGCTTGAATAATCTGGGTAATTGCTTCAGTTCTCTCTCTGCTCCAGCTGAGTGAGGAGGGGCCTCCTGCTGGGTGCCCCAGAGGCCAGAGGAGGGAGCTTGTCTTGTCAGGTCTTCATCCGCCCTGCCCTGTCGGTAGCACAGGAAGAATCTACCAACTGCTCCCATAGACGGTGCAAACCCTCCCAGCCGTGTGGGTGTCTCAGTCATTGGCACACACTGCCGGGCCTGCAGCCTGTGAGAGACGCCGCCATGTGGGTTCATGAGTCAGCTGCCTGAGACTAGAAGGTGAGAAATGTTGAGGGTGAGGACGCCCAGGAGAGCGCCAGGCACAGAGAGCGCCCCGAGCTTTCTTAGGTTACCACGGCCTGCAGCCCCGACAGGCCCAGGGCCCGCAGCTCCACCAGGGTGCGCTCCTCACAGTTCCTCTACTTTCACTGAACCTGCTGACCTGTCAGGTCTTTACTTCCCTGAGGTCCTCACAGGTAGAGCCAGGTGAGCAGCCTGAGTAAACATGAGCCTCAGCTCAGCTCAGAGCACCCCCTCCAGCCTGCGAGGCCTCCATGCCCACTCTGACCTTCGTTCAGATATCTGCTGGCCAAATGCCCAGGACAGCCAGACCTGGGAAAGGGTATGTTCTGTCTCAGGATACAGAGCCTCTCCCTGGCAGCCTCACCAACTCTTCCTCATATCTGCTCCCTCCTTCTGCTCCTGACATCCACCCCCAGAACACTGGCTTGACAGCTCGTCGGGAGACATGTCTCTAGCCTTGGCCCTGCTCCAAAGGACGCCCTTCTATGCTCGCTCCCAGACCCTGGCCAGGAGCGGTCTCCTCCTTTGCATTCTGCCCAAAGGACTGTTTCCTACTTTCCATGTTGGGAAAGAGGACATGACCTTTGTTCCTAGCAAATGTCCTTTAGCCCAGCCCAAGGCAGATTGACCTGCGGCAGTGCCATCTGTCCTGCATCAAGATCATGAATTCTATTCATCTGCTGGACTAGGAGTTCCACTGGCACCATGTTTGCCACCCTCGCTGGCATCTGAAAGATGACCAGGAAATTGCTTCCGAGTGCCCTGCTCCTCGGTCCCAATAGGGACGTCCTGGAAGGTACTGAGTTCCCCATTCACCAAGGGCATCAGGCTGACGTACTAATGTTTTGGAGGCAGCAGCGAGGAGATGGCTGGGAATGCTCACCTAGCTCATAAGTGACAATGAGGTCGACACTGAGACTCTCGCAATCCACAGGTGTGCCTGCGGAGCCGTCCATTTATAGAGCTTTCGAACACCCTGCGTGGAAACCTTCCTTATTTCAGTCACAGATCACATCCACATCAGATAAAACCATCTTGCTAAATTGGGTTCCCTGCACCATCCTGATGTGCGCCCTCGCATATAAAATCAATCGCTCACAGGCAAATCAATGAGCCAAATGAGGTCTCGGGGCTCAGGAATTAGGCTCACTGCCTCTGCCTCAATTTTTCAGATTCCGACTCAACTAACATTTATTGAGCAACTATATTTGCCAGGCAATGAGCTAAGCATTTCCACATATGCTATTTTATGAACAGATGTAAAGGCTCTGCAAGGGAGTGACACGAAGGCCAGAGAAGAGGAGAGGCAGGTAAGTGACGGCCTGAGGTCACCCAGCTGCACCTGAGGTCACCCAGCTGCTGGTGGCAGAGCTGCGGCTGGAGCTGGGAGATTTTCTGTCATTCAGTTTCTACCCAAGGCTGGTTTAAGCGAAGGAGTGTGTGCTTTTATTAAGGCCAGTGGCTGTGGGCAGCTCTGGGGTGGAGAGTGCTCAGTGCCTGCAGTTCTCCACCTAACCTGTCCCACTCGGACTGCGCCTCTAGCGGGCACGACCGGGAAGCCCTGGCTCCAGGAGAGGAACAGCTTTGGACACAGACCAGGGCACTGGAGCCGCTGTGACTCGCCCTCTCTAGGCTCTAGGCTTCTGTTTTCCCACACTGACCATAGAGTTCTCCTACCATGTCACCCCAGGTTGTTGGAGGATCAAACAATCAAACGTAAACTTCAAGAGGTCAGAGAAGTTGCCTGTTATCACTGCCATCGCCCTAAGATGCTGCTGGCAGGTAGTAGGTGCTCGATAATATTTGTGACAAGAAAGAGTGCAGTGATGCTGGTTCCCTTCTGCTCTGTTCCCCGAATGGAACAGACAACAGTTTGGAATGTCCCCTTGCCCAAGATGCAGGAGGCTTAGCCAGGGGCTTTGTGGGATTGTTTCTTACAGCCGAGAACAGCCACACACAGGCAGCAGCCCGTGGCCACCCTATTTCCCTTCCCCCACTGTCACCTCCATGGAACTGCAGAAGCCTGAAGCCCTCCACCCTCCAAATCAGAATTTAAAAATAGGGTGACTTACAATTTATTTTTTTCATTTTGGCTAAAGATAATTTTTTAATCTGTGATTGGTATTGTTTCTAGAAAGAAAGGACATTTTAACAGCAAAATCAAGAGGATATACTCTCAGAATAAATTATGGTCCTTTTCTGGAACAGCTGACAAATTTAAATTAATCAATTCTCCCCAAAAGGCTGGGTTTTAAATTTTTTTTGAATGCAGAAAAATCACATATAGAATTTTATGATGTCACATGGCAATTTTGTTGTTGATATAAATGTGTCAACTTGAGGATCTATATTCAAAACACAGCGACAATAACAATAAAACACACTCAGAATAGACAGGCTCTGGCTGAGCTTCCTGCATCTCCTGCGTGTGAACTTGGGCCATGTGCTCAGCAATTTTCAAGCTTTAACTCGTTAACATATAAGCTTTAAATGGAAACAGGAGCCCAATCTATAGCTGGAGAAACTGAGGTTCCTGACTTCTCCCTGACAAAGACGACCGTTAGTGAGGCAAGAAAGGGGCCTTCCCAGTTTACACCCAAGCTAGTGCATGGTGGGGTCTGGATCACTCTACCTGGAAATGTCATGGTGGGGATCAGGGAAGGTGCCGCCGCCAGCTGAGACTTGATCCTAGCTGGACATGAATCACAGATGATGTCTGGGCCCCACTGCTCTAAATGACCAGCCACCAACGAAGCAAAAGGCCCAACAGCCTCTTCGGGACATAAGGAAAAAGCTATAGCAAGACCCAAGTCCCTCACGATGTCGAAAATCACTCCAAGGCATCTTGAGGTAAGAGCAAATATTTATTAGAGGAAAGTTGATCTAATCTCTAGTAAAGGTATCACAATGGGTTTATTGATTTCTTAACAGGAAAAGTTACATTTTAAAGAGAAAAATTCCAATTTCACAAGCAATCTCCAGCCAGATTCTGGACCCTTGGGACACCTCACAACAATTCTGGTGAAAAAAAGAGAGAAGAGAACAGAAAAAAAATCTTGAAAAAGGAGTTTTTCATACAGATATACAGAAAACTAAATAAAATCAATTGAAAATTTGAACAGAGAGCCATTCATTTTGTTAAGTGTTACAAAAGTGCCAAGAAGTACAGCCTTACTCCCAAGTTCTAAGCTTTAGAATATTTCCTTTTCCAAAAAATGACATCGATCAGGAGGAAAATACAAATGAAGAGAAGAAAGATGAACACTCTTTTTTGGAGGGCTTGAGCAGTGATGGGGTAGTAAAAACATAATTTCATCAACTATGCAGCCAGGTTCTAATTTTCTTTCCACCTCAGGACACAGGAGCTATGGCCTCTTTACAGAGAACCTTCTGGAAGAAATGGTGTCCTTACGGGGACTCATGGTTGCATCCTATGACTAAGATTCTCTATCAGTCAGAATGCCCAGGCTCTATGCACCAGTCAGAAAATAAGTGGCAACTTCACTTGGGTAAGTGGGGAGTTTATAGGGGTGGTGCTGGAGGATCCTCTGCCTGAAGGAATGAAGGGGGCATATACAGGAATAAGAGAGCTGCGGGGTTTTTCACTGTCCCAGCAGCTCAAGATGACCCCACCATGGGAGAAATTGTACCCTCTCTCACTCTCTTCCTTCCCTGGGATCTGCCACTGGTATTCCCCATTGGTCTAATCCGGTTAGAAGTCAGAAGACAAAAATCCTTGGGTACAAACAGGTCACCCTCCTGGGGCACAGAGCTGGGGTTCTGGAGACAGTGTCTTCATTCACAGGGTGCTGACTTGCACAAGAGTTCAAGGAGTCAGATATTAGCTAGACCTAAGAATATGTATCTACAAATGGATTGGTAGTTTTTATTTAAAAAAAAAAAGAGGTTATTTAAAATTTAGCTATTTCTGACTACATTTGAAGAAGTTATTTTTGATCTGGTAGGGTGTTATACAGACTAACCTCAAATCTAGGATGAAGGTCACTAACTCACATTCATGAAGAAGAGGATGCATCATTATCTAAGTGTCCAAGTTCAGTAGAAATGTAGGGATATGAGGGGCACCTCCACTATAAATGGGCATGTCTACTGCGGTCAGAGCGACTGTCATGCCCACTGTTCCCCTGAGTCACCAAGGTCTCAATGCCCACCTGCCCCCTCCCTCAACCAGCAGTGTCACAGTACCTTCCACACCTCCTGTTTAAACAGGTCCCTGAGCTCCACCAGCTCCTCGGCCAGGGTGAACATTGAATCCCACTCCCAGGCTCTGCTGGGGTCCTGCTCAACGAGGCAGAACCTAAGTCCTTGTATCAGCTAGAACTGGCTCTCTCGTTTGTTCCTATCACTCCACCTGGCCTGGCACCCAAAAGTATGGACCAATAGATGGACTGAATTTAGTGCAAGGAGAAATAGCAACGATCCACAAACACTCCTACACTTGAGCCCCAGACTCAGAGCACAGGATGAGAGAGCAGCAGGGGCCCAGAGTTTTGCAGAGACAGGGTTGGATGGCATGGTGAGCCAGGATGAGGATTCTAGTTGATCCAGTGCCAACCCTGTGTAAGCAGCTCTGCCCACATTGCAGAGCCAAGGGCTGAAGGCTGAGACCATCCAGACCCCTCTGAACACCAACACTGGGCCTTGGAAAGCTATCTTCTCAGTCACCCTTTGCAGGATGAGACACCCAGAGGTCAAATATATTGAAGTACCAGTGACAGTGGCAAGGTGCACCTTTCTGAGTCACCCACCCAAAGATCCTGGGAGACAGAGGCCCAGCATGAACCGCTGAGCACAAGCACCCTCTGGTCCCATGATGGAAGCCTTAGCTGCACAGAGACGGTGCCTGGATCCCCTGTGCTTTGACCACCCCAGGTTCCTGCCAGCTCTGGACTTTGCCTCCAGCCTCCTGTGAGTCCACCTGATAAAGCCCAGCTCTGTTCCTGGCACCCAGGCTACCTTTGCTTTGTCCCCTGAGTCTCTGTGCTCTGATCCTGCCTGAGCTGGGCTTCTCGGGCTTGCTGCTCCCCTGAGGGCTGGGAGGCTACCTGCGTGCCTCTTCCCAGGACAGAGGAGTCAGGGAGGCAGGACATGGCCCAGTACTACTTCCGTCTTCCAGCCCCTTTCCTGTGCTGACTCTAGAATACATGCTTGCTGGAGCTAGTCTTTTCTGAAAATGCATTTGTGTTTGCTGGGACATGATAATGGACTGAAATTAGCTGCGGAGTTGGCTGTTGGGGAAACATGAAAGGTGAAGGATTCTCTTGGGGGCGTGTGGCCAATGAGAGGCAGTGCCCATACCCACTGCATTTAGCATCTTTATTAAGGATCTGGTTGAAAGAACATGAACAGTGTGCTTCATCATCTTTTTTTTTTAACGTTTAAAACATTTTACAAATAATGCATGTTTATTATAGAAAAAGCAGATAAGTCAAAGGAAAATGAAGAGGAATTACTCTTCTTTTAGCTATTCTGAAATAATCACTATTTTTAACATTTTTGGCAAATCTTTCATACCTAAACACACAGACATAAATAACTGTCTAACTGAAATGCTGGACCTGGTAGAGGTGGGTTTTTTTTTATTTTTTTTGTTGTTTTTTTTTTAAAGATCTTGATGGTTAAAGTTTTGATATAAACAGTTTCTGTACTGAAAGTGATAGAGACTAGCATTGACCGGTGGAGTGAACTGTTTATTTGGGGAAAACCCTTTGCATGGGCTTTTTGTTACAAAACATTAAGCAAACACCTTCCTCCTGAAGCTCTGGGGGAGTGAATTGATATTGAACTATTGTATTCAATGCTGGTGTCCACTTGGAGACTATTAGGATCCGCCCTGTTCACTGGAGGAGAAGTAAGCATTTGTGCACTAGCCTCTGCTAGAAAAGAATGAGGCCTGCAAAGCAAGCCAGGCCCAGGCAGGTGAGTCTCAGAGGGGGCATGCCTGCTTCCCGCGCCACCCCCCCAACCTGGTTCTGTGGCCATTGGACAGGACTTTGGAGATCCACCCATTCCAGAAGACTTCTGGTGTAGAGTAACTGGCCTCCTGTTTGGCGGAAGTGATAGAGCCCTAAGGTGGACCTGGAGATTTGTAAAGCAGGCATTTCTGGGAAGACTTTTCAGTTTTGCTCTGTATGGCACCTCCCTTTGGTTATCCCCAAAGTTGGCATGCAGGCAGAGACCAGCGCTGGCTGTGACGTGAGTAGCTAAGGGAAAGCCTCTCTGTGTCTAGTTAGAGTGGCAAGGAGGGAGCAGTGGTAACTACTTTAGGCCAGCTTGGTGGTGCCAGCTCAGGCTGGTGGAAGGTCACATGCCCAAAATGGGCAGGGAGAGTTGGGTCTGTGTCCGGGCACTTGAGTGGAAGCAGGGCAATGAGAGCAGACAGTGCCCAGGGCACTCACAAAAAACAAAATGATCTTTTGAGGGAGGCTCTGTTCCTGCCATCCAGCAACAGCAAGATAGGAGGCTTTGTCATTGTTGGTATTCGCTGAAATATGTTCACCCAGGCTGGTGAGGCCTTAACCTTCCTGGTTACAAAGAGACATTGACAAAAGTGGAAAAGTGCAATACTCGCTCTGTTGCAGTCTGCTTCCCCACACCAACTCAGCGACCTACAGCGTGCATCTTTCCCACAGGTAGATACGGACATTGTCACTTTAAAGGTGGAATCAGGGCCTTCCTGGTGGCACAAGGGTTTAAGATGCAACCTATGAGGCAATCTGCAGCCTCTGTAGCATGAGTTCAATCCCTGGCTGACCAGGGAGATACCCACATGGTGCAGCAGATCTCGCCTGACTCACCCTCTGCTCCCTTCAGCAGTGTATTTCGGTTGATCAGACTGTTCTGTTCCCCACTCTGTCTCTGGTGAATCCTCTCACCCCCGCCCCCACACCTCTGGCCTGTACCCCTGTTCTTGTATATATAAATAAATAAATTTTAAAAAATAAAAGTTGAATTGTATCCCTCATCGCACCTATAGAGCCATAATTTATTTAATATCCCTTTTGGGTTAACCAACTTGAAAGCACAGTGATTTGGAGATTAGCAAGGCAGGGGTGTGGAAGAAGGTCCTTAAATGCAGTGGTCCTTAAATGCAGTGATTTGGTGACTCCTGGAGCAGGCAGTGTCCATCGATTCATCTCAGAATCAAGCCCATGCACTGAGATACCTTCTGCCAGCCATGCCCCTCTCCCACTCCAGTCCTGAGCCTGCTGGTCTGGGACTAGGTGCTATGCCACTTTTGCTGGATTTCTTCTACAGGTAAACATCAGCACACAGGTCAACTGTACTTACTAGCCCTGATTGCCTGGCAAGCCCTCTCATCCCAGGCAATTAGAGTTTCAATTTTACACACAGTTGACCCTTGAACAGTGTGGGAATTAGGAGCATCCACCCCTAAGCAGTGCAAAATCTACCTATACCTTATAGTTGGCATTGTAATTTCCCTTGTTCCACTTCTGCTGATTGAGCCAACGTCCAGGTATTGGTTGAATTCACAACTGAAGAACCTGTAGATAGAAAAAAAAAATCTATGTATAAGTGGACCCATGTAGTCCAAACCCACGCTGTTCAAGGGTCAACTGAATCACATCTCTTCTGCCCATGGAACACCCCGCACCACCTGCAAGGGGAGCTTCAGGGCCTCTCCTGCTCTCCTGGTTCTTTCTCTCTGTGTCTTCCCCACCCCTACTCTGAACAACCTCACCCCAAACACACCTTTCCCACATTCTCCATTCCTTTTGTTTCAATCAGAAATAGGTGGTGCAAAATAAAACCAGACATGTTGAATTCTTTCAGTTGAAGATGATAGATTGACCACAGTGTTTATCTCCTCTATTTCTGAGGACCCCACTAACATGAGAATAATTATTCCCTGGAGAAGGAAAATGGGAGAGGTTCAGGATCAGGATTCAGGGCACCAGGTAGAGAGGGGGCTAGGATCCAGGGATAAGAGCAAAAACAGGAATTAGCAATGTACACAGGACTGGAGGCACAGAGGAAATTTCAGGGTAGTAGAAATATAAAAATTCATGTAATGTATAATTAATATTATAATTTTTATGCATAAATTATACTTCAATAAAAGAAAGTTTAGGGTGCACATGGAGAGGCCATATCCACTGACCCCTTCCCATGCTTTGTGTCTATCTCTAGAAACCAGGACACTGCCAATTAGGTGAGAGATTGAAAAGTTCTTTTCTGGATAATTAGAATGGCCCCAAAGAGAAGGCTTCAAATATGGTCACCGAAACTCTCAGATGAAAGAGTCAGGTCAGTGTCTGATCACCCTATATGGAAACTACTATCCTAGCCCCACACAAAGAGTCCAAGCATCTATTTAATGTCTATTTCATGAATGGGATGCAAAAGATTACTAGACACTTGAGAGAAAATTCCAACACAGCGTAGAAAGAATCAACAATATAAAGTAGTGCCAATAACCTAAGAGGAAAAAAAGAGTTAAATAAAATAGAGATGACATAGGACTCAGAAGAAAACTTAAAAGTAACATTGAATTAGTACACTCAGAAGCATAAGAGAAGATATGGCTTTCATTATAAAAGAATAGGATTTTTTTGTTTTAAAGACACAAAGGACAAAAAACTACTCAAAATTAAAACAGGAAAGAGAGAAGAAAACTCAACAAAAAGTTGGAAGGAGAAAGATAATGAAATCTATCAGAAAGCAGAACAAAACAGAAATGGAAAATATGGAAGAAAATTCAGGTGTCTTAGATAACCAATCTGGAAGTGCAATACCATACTTACAGGAAAAATAGAAACAGAGAATAGAGGAGAGGATGAAATTGTCAAGTAACTGGTTTAAGATATTTCCTGGAACTAGACTGCATCTTCTACTTTATGACATATAAACTTTCAGAACGCCAGGTTAAAGAATAGATCCTAAAAGATCCCCCCAAAAAATTACATGCAAAGAGACAGAAAATCTGGGGCCTCCCTGGTGGCACAGTGGTTAAAGACAGCACTATGAAGCTATCACCAGCCACTGCAGCACAAGTTCAATTCCCCAGCCAGCCAGGGAGCAACCCACATGGCACAAAAGACCTCTCCTGTCTCGCCCACTGCTTCCCTCAGCAGTATATTTCAGTAGATCCACCTGTTCTGTTCCCCACTCTGTCTGGTGAATCCTCTCACCCCCTGCACCTCTGGCTTACCCCCCAGCTCTTGTATGCAGAAATAAACAAATCTGAAAAACAGAAAATCAAAATGGCATTAAACTTCCCAAGAACAGAACTGAAATGCTAGATGATAATAAAGCAATGAATGCTATTGCATTTTGAAATAAGATATTATTTTCAGTCTTGATTTTTATATTCAGCCAAATTAGAAATTTCAAGAGGATAAAATAAAAATATTTTCCAACATAAATTACTCAGGAAAAATTACTTCTCATGCTCTCTTCCTTAATAACCTGCTAGAGGATGTGCTCCAGCAAAATCTGGGAGTAAAACAAGAAGTAAAACAAAAGACCAAGAAATGATGGATCCAACCCAGGTCAGTGGCAAAGGGAGCCCCTGGAGGAGACCTGTACAGGAGGACTACAGATTAACCAGCATAACTGTAAGTAAGAGGAAGAATTCTTCACAATGGAAGTCTCCAGGAATTTAAAAAAGAGGGAAATCATATAACATGTGATATTGTGATATGATGAAATTTTTGTAAAAAGCTGGTGATAGGTGGTTGTAAAAAGCTAGTGATAGATGTTAGAGCTTATTGGTTGTTGGTTTTTGTGGTTTTTTTTTTACTTTTAAAGATAGCTATGTACAAAAATATGCAAGTAAATTAACTAGGTAATTATTAACTCTGATCACTTAAGTAAAAATGATAAGCCTAAATGAAATGATGGGGTTGGAGGGTAAGGTAGAGAAGTCTGCTATAAGAAAATTAAATTTGTCCCATCTTACAAATCAAGAAATAGAAGTATAGTCACAAATATAGAAAGTTAAGAGCAAAAGAAAAATCTAGAAGACTTTTTTAAATCCTCTCTGGGGAGATTGCTGGGTAAATCAGGGACTGCTCTTACTCATTATAAGTCTTTTGTCATCATTTGATGTATTTTTAACTATATGCATATCTTGCATTGTTTCACATTATTTTAGAAGTTAAGATAAAACAATTGTTTAAGCTAATGAATGATGGAGTGAGAAGACCATGAGGCCATGTGTCACCAATCTGGGTTCTGCTTTGGTTCTCCCAATCATTAACCAAGTGGCCATCAGAAGGAACTGAATCTCTGGGGTTGAGAGTAAGGCAGAAGTTCACTGAGTCACCTTGAACAAATGACCTCTCTTCCCTTCTCCCAGCCTCTGCTTCTGTCCTTCAAAGATACCTGTGGGGCTCTGCACTCATGCCTTCTGGGAACTCAGGAGATAGCAATGACTTAAACCATGAAGACTAGAGGGAAATCAGACCCAAATAGAACAGAAACTGAAACCAACTGAAACTGTCATTTTGAGCCAGTTGAAGGCAATGTCAGTTTAACTTTCAGTTGGCTTCAGTTTCAGTTGGTTTCAGTTTCACTTCTTTGATGAAGAGCCAGCTGGAACCAGTTTGAACCAGTTGGGACCAGTTTCAGCCAGTCAGAACTGGTCAGAACCAGTTTCAGCTGGTCAAAACCAGTCAGAACCGGTTTCAGCTGGTTGGAACCGGTTTGAGCCAGTCAGAACTGGTTTCAGTTGACTGGAACTGCCTTGAACTGGTTTCAACCAGTCAGAACCAGTTTGAACAGGTTTCAGCCAGTCAAAACTGGTTTCAGCTGGTTGGACTGGTTGAACAATTTCTGGATGGAATTGATTTGAGTCAGTCAGAAACAGCTAAAACTGGTCAGAAAGGGATTCAATTGATTTCTATTTCACTTGGTTTGAAGTATTCAGATACGTTTGGAAACAGTTTCATCCATTTTGAGCCAGTTGGAGGCAATGTCAGTTAGTTTCACTTTCAATTATCTTCAGTTTCAGTTGGTTTTGATTTCTCTTCTTTGAAGAAGTCAGAGTCAGTGGGAACCAGTTTGAAATGGTTAGAACTGGTTTGAGTTGGTCAGAACCTATTTAAACTGGTTTTGGCTGGTCAACCAGTTTCAGCTGGTCAGAACTGATTTGAACTGGTTTCATCCAGTCAGAACAAGTTACAACTGGTTTCAGCGAGTCGGAACTGGCTTGAACCCGTTTTGGCTGGTCAGAAGTGGTTTCAGGCAGTTGGAACTATTTTGAACCGGTCTGAACTGGTTTTAGCCCGATTGAACCAGCTTAAACCTGCCAGTCAGAACCAGTTTTGACTGGTCAGAACTGGTTTGAGCCGGTTGGAGTCAGTCGGAACCGGTTCCGACCACTTTCAGCCTGTCAGAACTAGTTTGAACCAGTTTTGGCTGCTCAGAACTAGTTTCAGCTGATTGAAACTGGTTTGAGCCAGTCATAACCGGTCAGAACCAGTTTCAGCCAGATTGACCCAGTCAGAACTGGTTTCAGTAGGTCGGAATCCATTTGAACCAGTCTGAACCTGAAGAAATCAGAACCAGATTAGGTTGGTTTCAGTTTCATTTGGTTTGAAATCATCGGATCCATTGGAAACATTTTCATCCATTTTGAGGCAGTTGGAGGCAATGTCAGTTAGTTTCACTTTCAGTTTGCTTCAGTGTCAGTTGTTTTTGAGAAGTGGGTGTCAGTTGGAACTTGTTTGAGCCTGGTTTGAGCTAGTTGGTACCAGTTTTAGCCAGTCTGAACTGGTTGGAACTGTTTTCAGCTGGCCAGAACCAGTCGGAACCTGTTTGGGCTGGTCAGAACTGGTTTCATCTGGTTGGAGCTGGTTTGAACTGGTTTTAGCCAGTTTGCAGTGGTTTCAGCCGGTTGTAGCCAGTCTGATCAGTCAGCCAGTCAGAACTGGTTTGATCCTCTTTGGCCTGGTCATAAATGGTTTCAGCTGGTTGGAATTGGTTTGAGGCAGTCTGAACCAGTTTGAGCCAGACAAAACTGTTTTCAGCCAGACTCAGCAGGAACCCATGGTTTCAGTTTCAGTTGTTGTGGTATCAGTTCTTTGAAGAAGTCAGAACCAGATTCAGTCTGTTTCAGTTTCACTTGATTTGAAATTGTCAGCTCCATTAGGAAATGTTTTCATTCATTTTGAGCCAGTTGGAGGCAGTGCCAGGTAGTTTCACTTTCAGTTGGGTTCATTATTATCCATTGGCTTCAGTTCCACGTCTTTGAAGAAGTGGGAGCCAGTTGGAACCAGTTTGGGCTGGTCAGAACCAGTTTCAGCCAGTGGAACCAGTTGGAACTGGTTTCAGCCAGTCAGAACCAGTTTTGGCCAGTCTGAACCAGTTGTAACCGGTTTCAACCTGTCGGAACAGGCCAGAACAAGTTTCAGCAGGTCAGAACCGTTTTGAACCTGTTCTGTCTAGTTAGAACTGATTTCAGCTGGTTGGAGCTGGTTTTGACCTGTCTGAACCGGTTTCAGCCAGATTGGACCAGTTGAGCTGATTTCAGCCGGTTGGA